TGCTATTCAACACATCCCCGTCGTCCTGGACCCGGCGAACCCATGATAGCGGCCCATGATTCTGCGAGAGAGAGGAGAACCTATAAGTATAGACAAGCAATAATGTAGCGAGAATGGTGAGTAATGTTCGCCGGTGTTGAAGCATGGTCTGTCTCTTGGATCTGCGACGTAACCGGCAAACTAGTAACGGCGTTTAAACCATATTTCGACTACTTAAGGAGGCTAGAGGTATTTATTTAATCATTTGTAATACGTTTGAATTTAAGTGAGAATAAATCTAACGTTTGCGTTGGCCTTTGCTGCGGTTTAAATGTTAGGCCTCTGTTAGTAAACAATGATGCACACCTGGAAGTCGGGTAAAGTGCCCGGGTAAATCTGTCCTAACGATTAAATGAGCAACGTATTGGGTACTTAACGAGGAAACCAGGAGGTTCGCTGTCATTAGATAAGTCAATTCCCAGTTTTAATTTCCGAGAAAATAAATATTAGGTTGGTGCCTCGTTCCATTGTGTAGATGTTCAAAATCTCTAGGTAATATCCATCACATTGTTCTAGAGAGTCGATGCAACACTACTAACCATATCTTGCAAAGAAATAAATCCAAACCATTACCAGATTAGGCAATTTGACCTAGCTATCGCTCTGATCCTAATCTATGTGAACGCCGTCAAGAAACCGTCTATGAATCTATCATGATCATCCCAAGCATACCCCTTTTGCGCGTCGTCTATTCGACAAGATTGCTAACTCGTAGGCGCATGTAACATCAAGCACGCCCTGCTTCCATCTTGAAACCTGTATCGAAAGTATAATCTAACCGGTCTATCCTCTATTCTTCGTCGTCCGTATCGGGAGGGTGCGGTGTGCCCTTAGGAGTACTAAGCCATTCAATATGGCGGAGTCTTCGTCGGACTTCTTGCTCTTTAAGCTCCTTCTTGGTCTTCTTCTTCTTCTTCTTCGCCTTGAATTTCAGGGGTGTGGTGTCTTCAGCCTCACTATTCATAGTGCTATTGACAGCACTATTCACAACACTGCTGGCTGCAGTACTAGCGATACCACTGTTAAGCCCACTGCCGGGTCTGCTGTCTTCGAAGCGGTCGGCTGAGATAGCGGTGTTACCCTTCAGTGTCATGCGGCCATCGTTGATATGCCACTGCTCACTGGCGAGGGCGCCGACGAACTCCTCATTGTGGGAAATCATGACAACACCACCTTTGAAATCTCGAATGGCTACAGCAAGGCCGCCAAGAGAATCACGGTCCAAAAAGTTGGTGGGCTCGTCTAGGACAAGCAAATGCGGGTTGTTCCACATGGCGCCAGCAATGACAACCTTGACCTTTTGACCTCCTGATAGACTGCCGATCTCATTGTGGTTGGCAATCTCTGGGTCAAGGCCGAGGTCCTCAAAATGTTTTGAAATGACTGTGGGCTGAAGTTCACGGTACCCCAAACCTTCCCGCGAGGCCTCATGATCATCGAACTCCTGCACTAGTTTGTCGAAACCCCACTCCAACATTGTCTCACGGGAGACTTGCGAATTGAATTTCGGAAGCCAGCCTCTCCATTTCCTAGGAAATATTTAGTTCTTATTCTAAGTAAAGTCATAAACTTGCACTTACACTTCGTATTGGAAGGTCTTTTTCCACTTTTGTCGGCCCACAACAGTTTCGATTTGTCTCTCACCCTTCCCATCACCGAGGTCGATCTTTTTATCCATTTGCTCACGATCTTTATCCGATAGAATGCGAGTCTGTTTCAAATGCACCTCTCGATCGTCACCGTTCGCATACCTCCACTGTAGGTACTGGTTAGGTGTCTTCTCAAGATGCATCTCCACGTGTTCTAGGGCATGTTGCTTAATGTATCCAATACGCAAATTAGGGTGTTTCTCAACTCGGCCGCTAGTAGGAATGACCTCGCCAGTCAGGAGCTTGATCAGAGTCGACTTGCCCGCACCGTTGGGGCCAATGACGGCGACCCTGGAAGAGAGACTAAGTTGACAGCTAGCGTCACTAAGTGACGGCTTTGGCGCCTTTGGGTATTGGTAGGAGACACCAGTCATGCGGATGATGGCTCGAGTTGTGGACTTGACACCCGACAAAATACCGGGAGGAGGGAATTTGAATTGAACATTAGAGGCTGAGAGAGTGTAGTAAGCCTTAGCCTCCGGGCGAACCTTGACGAATGCCGCTAGATTTCCCTTGAAGTGACCGAGTTTTTTGCCTGGTTCGTAATGATAGATATCAGTTGTAACGTTATCCAAAAATCCTGAATCGTGGGAAACAATCAAGCTGGTAATATCTGTATGAGTCTTGAGATAATTTTCCAACCAGGCGATATTGGCAACGTCCAGATGATTGGTAGGTTCGTCCAGTAGTAAAACGTCCGCTTTCTGAAGCATGGCTCGAGCTAGAGCTAGCTTCATCTTCCAACCTCCAGATAGCGATCCAACCTTTTGTGATTGACGGCCTTCCGGCCCGGTCGTAAAGCCAAACTCTGCCAAAACTTCTGAAATTCTTTCCCGGCCTTCCGAGGCAATGGTCGGGTCTTTGACCATGAATTCAAGGATACTGATATCGGCGTCCTCGCCCTGGTTGTGCTCCACGTAACAGGTTCGAAGGACATCCTGAGGAGGGAAGCCTTCAAGCTTACCTCCAGCGATGCTCTTCATGAGTGTTGATTTACCGGCTCCGTTTCGGCCACAAAGGCCATACCGATGTCCTTTGAGGAGACGTAGGTTGGTATGAGACAACAGAAGCATACCACCATACGCGAGAGAGAAGTCGGCATTGACAATCTCGGTCTCGCCGTCATCCTCTTTCTCCGGGATCCCGAATTTACGCTCATCCTCCGCAACATAGTACTTATGGATAGCCGAGGCGACGGCGTTGCTGGCGCCTGGCTGGTGCATCAAATCTTTTAGGTAAGGGCCAATCCTGCCGGGGATTCTGCTGACTTGGCGGTAATTAGAATCATCGGCAACCATCTCACAGATGTAGGGACGAGCTAGCTTGTAGAAATCCAGGTCGCCTGACAGTCCTCCGTTATTCTTAATCTCAGAGTCTAGAACCTTGGCAACATCATCAACAGAAGTACGTTCCACCGCAGCGGCATCATTGTTCATGGCCTTGTCCATGACATTCAATGCCCTCGTAGCCAGCTCGCGAACTTCAGGAAGGGGAGCCCGATCCGCCACGGCCTTGACACCGGGTTGAAGCTTTGGAAGGAATGTCCTTGCTTCAATAGGGTCATGCACTAGTTTGGTCAAGTTTTCAGTGATAACGGTGGACTGTCGTAGCACTTCCTGAGTTGTGCTGGGGTTGTTCAATGTCCGCTCAAGAAAAGGAGTTAGGAGCGCAAGGACCGGCGACGTGACAATGGCGACGAAAGTAGTCTGGGAAAGTGCATGAATTGCCTTCTGGAGGGTCTGAGTTGAGGGGTGATGTAGGGTCTCAATAAGCAATGGGATTCGGGGAGCGACATCATCATTGGACAACAATGTTGTGAGAGACTGCATAGTAAGAACAGCCTGTTTCTCGACTTCGGCTTTAAGGTCGTGCATGTTGTTCTCGGCGATGGGAATCAAGGCGGCAAGTTTTGCACCCATGGCGTCTCTAAGGAGATCTTTCTCCTGGGCCTGCTCCTTCGTGCAGCCAATCTCCATCTGGGCCTTATCGGCCATCCGCTGCATCAACTTTAGAGCACCGACGGTACCCTGCCACTTACCAGTCCTCTTAGAGAGGTAGGTTACGATGGCTGGGAGGAGACCAGCGACGAGCGCCTCGGGACTGAGATGGCCGAACAGGGCATCCAGGCCATACTGAGCGGCATCACGAACGACGGTGCCCTTGTCAGCCAGAGCATCAAGCGCATAGCCGACCAAGCCGCCGTCTTGGAGTAGAAAGACTATCTCGCTGAGGGGTTGCCGTGAAGGAAATTTTTCGAACAAGGCGCCCAAAAGGTTCTGGGCACTTTCACGTCGCAAGCCGCTCTTCTTATCGGCAGCGGCCTTCTTGACCTCGGCGACGATGCCGTAGCTATGAAGGCCGCGGAAGCCAACGGTGTTGACCAAGAGCTCGCAGAGCGCATATGCTGCATCGATTGAAGCGGAGGAGGATGTCGCATTAAAGACGGTATTGAGGATAGCGGAAACATCCTCGGTCGAAGGCGGTGGGGGAGCCTCGCCAGATTTAGCCACCATTATCGGCGGCGCTATAGAGTGAGGCATCGCTGAATGATTGCCGGGGAGGAGGAGAAGGAGGCGGAGGAGGCAGAGACGAGGAGGGGTTGGATAGTTGGTCTATCGACACAGGAGATAGAGATAAAGGAAAAGAAAGGGCGTAAGAAAGGTTGTGAGTGAGACAAGACAAGATAAGACGCCCAAGATGTATGTCAGAGACGAGCGCAAATGCGCAATAGCCTCGAGGCGTTGGTATTGGAGAATGAATAGAGACCGTCGCCTTATCAGCCCGGCAACTTTCTCCTTTCTCCTTTCTTTCCAGTTTCCAGTGAATCCGGGGGAAAGAGGAAATGTAGTAAATAGAAGAAGGGAAGGCAGCCTGATAGGGAAGACACAAAATGGCCAACGGAAATGCTGCTTATCAGACAGATTGACCCCTCCAATTTTTTTCTTATCGAGATTTGGCCTTGCAAAACTCTACTTTGTCATGACCCACCCTGAATCCACTGGGCATCCACTTTCCCAGACCCAATTCCCCGTGCCAGCTTACCCGTGCCGGATACATGGATCCTGGTTGGGTTTGGCATCATCCTGTCTCTTCTACACTACCTGTCCTCATGTTTCGATTTCAACTGGCAATGTAAAATAATATGCCTCCGAGTAGTTTACACTATATCCGTACACTTTCATACCCAAATATCCAAGTGGCCCAAGATTAGTTCATTTGGTCCAAGCCCCGGAAGCCAGGCACTAAGATAGATATATGATCTATGATTAACGAATCAGAACACGATGATTGGCTAACTCAATTCATTACACTGCCCGCTTGGCTAAGTGGTATAGCGTGTCACTAGTAACGACGATTAGATGTCGTGACGAGATCGGCGGTTCGATTCCGCTAGTGGGCATTTACTTTTGAGATTTCTTAACCAATTTTTGTTTAATTTTTTTTCTATGGTTCTGTGTGGCAGGTACGAGGGACAGTTACTCCATATACCTATACCAGGTATACTCCGATTTTGAATAAAGTACTATGAAGCGGGGTTTTCTGAATAACTGTCGCTTATATACAAGCTCAGTATGCATGCTGTAGATTATTAGGTTAGTAGGCATTTCTGTCGTTAACCCTCCTTTGTTTGACCCCGGCTAAAGAAGAGAGGGCCAGGGCGGAAGGGGAATCTCGATTACACCCGAATATGCCTGCCTCCCTTGTCATATTATCATTGCACGGGCTGTGGCTGAGTCTATATAGACTCACATACACACACATACCCCCGATGACCGTTTTGGACATAGATATATCTATTTCTATTCCTTATGCGGTAGTAATGGCCACGTTTGGAATCGCTAGAGCATGGACTGACTGTAAATTTTCTACAAGTAGCTAAACGTTGCGTATCGAGTAACTTTTTAGTGTAGAAGAAACCGTGTTTTTATTCATTCTTATCGGATTATTAATAATCTATCTAGTCTAGGCTCCCCGCGTAATACCCAGGATTTTATGATATACTCACACTCACATGCTAACTATACCTCTTTTCGCGTTAATGAATCAATGGTTTGATGCTTTGTGTTACTTGGCCGCATTGCTGCAAGTCTTAGGATGAGAGCGATAATAGATAAACGCTATGCTCTCTTATCAACGAAGAACTGCAAGAGGATTTGAGTGCTACCTACTCAGTTCTTCTAATCTTGCCTTCATCTCATCTATTACATACACATTGAATGCCCTCGATTAGTTCACCTTTAGACTAAGTACTCCTGGTTCTGTTTAGGGCGGCCTAGTTTCCTAGCACCATTCACCTCCTCGTGTTCTACGGATATTAGTCAATAAAATAAGTCTGTCTAGATCGAACTATTATTCTATCCGGGGGGAGCGTGAGCCGAACCAAGCAGGCAACACCTTATTAGGTATGATTTAATATCCTAACCTTCCTCCGTTGTACATTTCTGATACCTGACATAGCGATCTCCGTATGCCCCCCAAAGAGACAAACGCCGGTATCCATATTAGAATAGATAGACGTTCGTTACTTGCATATGCCACTGCAGGGCACGAGCCACCACGTGGTATCTAGAATGATGCTAACCCTAGGTGCAAATTACCGCAATACAAGTCTAGGCTGGTGTTGGCTCGAGGGGGCGTGAGGGGTTGGGGAGATAGCGCTGTAAAATCCAAGAAAACTTGATGGAGTAACGGAATGGTCAATTCGGCACGAAAATCGTTATTTTTATTTCGTCTGAAGCTTCGCCGAGAAGAGTTATTAAGAGAAGGCATGCAATACCTACCCTACTACCACAAGGTAGCATCATTGTACTCCGACCAGCTGAAATCAGGGCGACCGACATCGAACGCCCTCATCGGCAATCTATTTAAGGGTCTTGGCAACTTTATCATCATGACAAGCGGCTGACATATCGGATTCCTTCTAAACCCACAGGGCTGCATGGGGTAGACTCGTCCCGGTCCGTGCATCATCATGGTGAAATTACCGCATTAGGAAAACGAAATGTTATCGACAGTGGGGTCTACTGCACACAAATGACTTATCATTCTCTCGAGCTATGTATTGCTCTCTGCCCAGTATGAGGCTCAGCCACGAGATGTGCAGAAGTCGTCGTAATTCTACATAAGGCCGCTGTCGTCATGATGTTGACATTCTTCATAAACGAACAGCCTAGATCAACCGCCAAGTATAAACGACCTGCGCTAGAAGGTATACGATAAGTGTGTACAATAGGTAGTGTTTTGCGTGGAGAAATAACCACTTGTGGGGGGATTTTGAGACAACCCATGTACTATGTACTGCAACTTAGTAGCTTAGTTTCATACATGCAGAAGTCCTGGTGATCCTTTTACACACGTGTAGATTTGAGCGTGAAGACAGTAACAGGCCCAACAGTTTTGTTTCGCAAGATGCTGAGAATTAGGTTAGACTTGAGATGAGATCTATAGTAGAAATATGATAGGTACTATACTATACTACTAGGCTAGCTTAGAGTGGATGCCCTCAAGAACACCTCCGAGCGGACTACTACTCGAAACTGGCGCCCCCGGGAATTGCAAGCCTAGTTCATTCGGGACTTCAATGTTTCATGGGTCGGGGGGGTGCGATTAGTCGATCCAAAAGACCAGGTTCTGCGGCATGTATATCGCCAAATTTGTCATCGGCAAGTTCCTTCGTTCCACACACAAAGTGCAAAAAACACAGCCAGGTTGACGAGCTAGGGAAGCCAGGGGTGAATCCAAACGGAGTTACGGGGCCAAGGTCATTGTTCACACCACCGGCGGCAAACCCCGATCAAGATTTCATCCGTTTTCAACTACACTACGCGTATTGTAATTCTTCGCGCTTTCCTTGTAGATCCTTTAGATTGATTTCTTTTAAAAAGCGTTACGGACGAGCAGAGACAGATAGGAAATGTGCGAGCACCGGGACTAAGGAATCTCGATTATTCAATTCTAGCTAGGCTGTCTACTTAGCTACCACACCTCCCACATATTCGCCATGGTTATACCACAGGCCACGAGCTTTCAATTCATTACCTCTATCAATACCGTCGCCCATGATGAGGAGACGCGCCGCAAGGTACGCTCCCATGCAAGGCGGCAGAAGCTTTCGAATGAGAACAGTCCTCCTTCTCAGGCAAGGAAGTCGACCACGCAGAAAGACCGTATTTCGAAGTTTAGACTTAAGCCTTCTGCTCAATCAAACGATACCAACCCCAAAGACAACAGCAGTAGTCGCAATGGTACCAATAAGAGCAACACAAAACCCCCGTCAATACTTAAACTTGATAGCCCTGCTACCCTAGGGGGCCGTACCCAGGGGGGCAAGGACGCTAACTTTACACCCACAATGATATCTCGAGAACTTGCCTTGGTCGTAGCAAAAGAACTCCCGAGCTTCCCTATGCTCCGCATCGAGACAACCCCTTTCACAGAAACCCTGCTCAAATATTGCTTCACAGTATGCTTATGCCCGCGAGAAGCTGTGGTAGAGAAATGGTTCGACCGCGCCGGAGCGCCAACATACATGATGACATGTGAGTAGCGATAGCTCTCTTAACCTTGTCCCGATTCAGCACTACGCTCATATTACGGCACAAGTATTTCTCTCCCGTAACTAACCTTTACAGACTACTCCGGCTTTCTTGCCAATGCTTTCGCCATGAATCCGGAAGGAAACTTCTTCGATGCCGTGAGTGTGCCTACTCTTAGGCAACCTTCTTTCAGCACGTCGATGTTAATCCGCACGGCAGTTACATGTTGATACGGCCATCACCCACGCCTTCATGGCAATGGTCGCGTCTATGCAGTACGTGCAGGATCTCATTCATTGCTTCTATTGCCGCGGGGCTCGATGATAGGAAAAACTACGGCGCGGAGTGATTGAGAAATGGCCACTACTATGAGTACGTCATAGCAACATCAACTAATAAACCATTCTGTGCGCAGTAATGCACTAGCCCAGTGGAACGATACGAGAACATTCGATTTCCACCGCCTCCAAGCCATCAAGGCTATTAACGAGCGATTGAACATAGAGGGCAAGAGCCCGAATGTACCTATCTCAGATGGTATCACCATGGCTGTAGCATTGCTAGTCAATAACGAGGTGAGTGAAGAGACCACTGCTAGTAGGTAATCATGGAGTACTAAGTAGGGTGTATAGACTTTTACTGGCTCTATTCAGCAGGCAGCGGCTCATATGAGCGGGCTAAAGCGTATTGTCGACGTGCGCGGTGGCATACTAGAAGGCTTCAAATACATCAGCGTGATCCAGAGGGCATTAGTAGTAAGCATTTTAGAATTCCCTTTTTTTTTTGTTTTGGCGGATTTTGGGGTACCACGACCTCTTTCCCATTTAAAACCATGCCCTGGAAGCTTTCATCACGATCAAAATGACGATAACTGATTCTAATTGTTATAGTGGTAAGGACGGTGACTTAATAATATCTTGGCTCAAATCCGTCCACATAGACTAAGACATAGCAGGGCCGATTTCTCCTACGCTTATGCCGCAGGACAATCGTTGATGTTTCCCTTCGTACCACAATTGGCGTCGTCTCTTAGTCTCCACGATCGCTTCAAGGGCAGATTGATGGAGCCTACCAAAAAACCTTCGGGGCCCAAAGATCTCGCGATTCGCGATCGAGGATTAATGGAGATATTCGAGCTTCTACACTCCATTACTGACTGCCTGGGATCTTTTGATTATAGCAATCTCGAGAACATGTCAACAGAACGAGTACAATTAAGCGATTCGATATATTTAGCGGAATGGCGAATTTTCCAATTAGAAGCATCATGTCGCAATATCAAGGCCTTGGAGCGGACAAGGTCGGTTACATTGGAGGACCACAGCGATGTCAAGGGGGAAACCGGACGCTCGTCGGCCATTGATCTATCCGAGAGCCTTATGTTTGCAGGCCACTTATTCGTCCACTTAGCGCTACGCGGTCAACCCCCAGCTGCGCCGAGGCACCGAGGGATTACTGGAGCGCTCATGTCGTCTCTCTGCGAAACTCTATTGAATCTAGACATCCTTGCCAGCCCCGAACCCTACGGAAGTCCAAGATCCTACCACAGCACAGGTAGCCTTGGAAACAGTTCAGTGGAGAGCTGGTCCACGACAACATCTAATACATCGATCCTCAGCAGCTCTTCTCTAAAAGCTGAGGATGACTTCACTAAGAATGCCCTTCTCTGGACTCTCTTTGTGGGATCTTGTGTACGGGTGCCGGTAGTGCCTAACGAGTATCATTTCTCACATCAGGCTGTTCTCCTAGGCGATCACCATCAATTCTTCATCCATGCTCTCGGGAACTATTGTCTTATGAGAAACATCACGGACAAAGAGACACTGGCTACAAAACTAAAAGATGTCCTCTGGTTGAATACCTG